CTATTTCTCATTCACTTATAAATGGTTTTCAGCAACCAAATACTAATATTTTATCTTCACATAGCAATGAACAACTTTGCTTCTTGGATCGACCAAAAATATTAAGTAGAGCTTACTTAATTTTGGCTCCAAAGATGCCTCAAACACATGATTATAAAACCACAAACTAACACTACATATCTTATACCAAGACCACTTTAACTCATAAGTGAATGTGTGATACATTTGAATGTACCATAGCATGACTCTGATTAAGTTGTTGAGCGGTTGATGGTGTGCTTGTTGTTGTAAGCTTGTAGAGTTCAAACCTTCAACCCTATTATGGATTTGTTAATTTTTGGCAATCACCCATTAAGAACTTGCAATAATCCGTTTTAACCTGTTTAATTAAATGGGTTCAATGTTGTTATTCAATTATGATTCGTTTGATAAATTGCAGGCATATATGGATAGGTTGACGGATTCAAATTCACATTACCACCTCTAAGTTTCCAAATGTTTAAGATTACAATTTCCCTTATGGATTTGGATTTTTGTGAGAATTTGGTTGTTCTTTATGGTCAATTTCACTTTGTACTTTTATACTTTAGACTTAATCTCACTTTATTCTCTAACCTTTTGATTGTTCGAGTTGATCTCCGAGATTTATAGTTAAATTACAATTAACTTTAGTCTTATAACACTATTTCAAAAACTGAAGAAGGGACTAAAGTAGAATTTTGCTAAAAAGTACATGGGTGCTAGGTATTCAAATGTAGGAATAAAAATGAGATTTTAATGAAAATACAACGATGCTAAATATAAGTATAATTAATAATATTATGTGATTGTTCTCTTTTAGGTGGTATATAAATGAGCCTAAGTGCAACTTAATTTGAAGTTGAAAAAATTGACTGAACAATTAAAAAGTCAAAAGCTGACGTAAGATTAGATTAAAGTGCGATGCAAACCAAAATTTAACAATCTTGATTTGCTATTTCTGGTGCATGCTTACTCTGGAAATTGCATGTGAAAAGTGAATTGGATTAATTGAAGGGATGGCTAAATAGGCCTTAATCAGTTTAAGTTCCATGTAAGTGCTGGGTTACGTGACCTTGAAAGTGGAGATTGAGTTGTTTTCACTCAAAAACTTCAATGTTGATAAGCTACCTCAGCTACAACAGAAGCCACGAGGTCTGAAGCAACAAAAGAGAGAGAGAGAGAGAAAGAGCTGTATAGATATAAGAGAGATAGTTATGTAACTATAAAGAAGTTAGAGGCAGCTAGAATTTGTTATAACAAACTCTAACCATTTTGTATAAATAAGTGTAAAGCACAATCTAATTCATTCAGTGAAAAAGATTTTCAAATTCTCATTAGTCTTTAACTTCTGTTATGGTATCAGAGCCAACACAAGCTCCTACGAGCAAGGTCTAACAATGGTGCTTTCATTTTCTTCTTCATCTATACCATCAAATCTCAGTCTTCTTCTTACAAATTTCAATTCATTAGTCTCTTTTAAGCTTGATTCGTCAAATTTTTTGATTTGAAGAAGTCAGCTTCAGAATGTTCTTAGAGCAACTGATCTTCTTGATTTCGTTATTGGTTTGGTACCTTGTCTTGTACCTGATATTCTTGATTCCTCTGGAGAAATTGTGTCAAATCTTGAATTTCTAAAATGGAAGACAATGGATGCTCATCTTCTGAGTTTCATCACTGCAACTCTTTCACCTTTTGTATTTTCTTCAGTACTTCATCACCAACATTGCTTTCAAGTCTGGAGTGCTCTCAAGAAGAAATACACTTCATTATCTCGATCTCATATTCATCACCTGAAAATTCAGTTACAATCAGCCACAAAAAGAGGTGCTACGATGGAAGAATATTTGGCTAAGATCAAGGAAATTTCCAATCAGCTTCAACTTGCTTCTTCAATGATTGATGATGAAGATCTTGTACTTATCACTCTCAATGGATTACCTGATGCGTACGATGCACTCAAGACTGCAACTTGTGCTCGAGTAGAGTCTATTTCAATGAAGGATCTGTGCTCTCTTTTATGTTCTGAAGCCATCCATATAGAGAACAAAACCAAACTTGTTTTGCAAAATGAGTCTACAGTTGCTTATTCTACAACCAAAAGTTCTGAGAATTCTCAACCTTATTCTCAGTATTCGAGGACTCATTCCTCTGCACAGTCTAGTTAAAAAGGCAGAAATTCTTCTCATGGTTTTTGAGGTAGAAGATATAGAGGAGGTCGATCAAATCGATTTTACAAAGGAAGATTTGGAGGAACCAGTTCTAGTTCCTCAAATACTTTTGGTTGCTAGATCTGTGGAGGATTCAATCATATTGCTTTGGACTGATGGTTTCGTATGTATCCCAGCTATTAGTCATCTCACTTTTCTTCATCCTCTAATCCTTTCATGTCTCCATCTAAGGCTTATTCAGTCACTACTAGTCCAACTTCTTCTAATCAGAATCGAACTTCTTTTTCTCCAGATTTGTTTGCTACACCTTGGTATATTGATTCTGCTGCCACAAATCATATCACCAATGACCTTGGCAATTTTCATCTCTACCATCCATGCCAAGGACATGATCAAGTGACAGTTGGAAATGGTCACAATGTTCCTATTCAATACATTGGTAAGGGTCTGTTGCCTACTCCTCAATATTCTTTTCAGCTTAACAATCTTCTATATGTTCCTCACATTTTTTCCAAACTCTTATCTGTTCATTAGTTGGCTAAGGATAATAATTGTACAGTTACTTTTGATGCTAATTCCTTTGTTAGGACAAGCTTACGAAACAGGTTCTGCACCAAGGTCCTAATGTGCATGGTTTCTATCACTTTGTCTCCTCTTCTCCACAATCTCATCCAGCTCATATTGCTCATACTTCCTCACAGGCTTCATTCCCTATTTGGCATCAAAAGGCTTGGCCATCCTTCACTACTGAAATTTCATCATATTTCTCAGCATATATCACCTACTTTTAAGAATAAAGATTGTACTAAATTTTCTTGTACACCATGTAGTGTTGCTAAAATTCATAGGTTACCTTTCAAACTATCTAGCTCCACTGCTAAACAACCATTTTCTCCTGCTCATAGTGATGTTTGGGGAAAATTTACTACTTTTGTCTCTAGTTATAAATACTTTGTTGTTTGTTGATGATTTCACTAGATTTTCTTGGATCTATCCCCTTTATGCTAAGAGTTATGTGTTTTCTACTTTTCTAGTGTTTAAGGCTTATGCTGAAACTCAATTCTCTACCACTTTAAAAATGTTAAGAACTAATAATGGGATTGAATTTGTTAATACTAAAATGCATGATTACTTGACCACTTATGGTATTGTTCATCAGCTCACATGTCCTTATACACCAGAACAAAATGGTAGTGTTTAAGGCTTATGCTGAAACTCAGTTCTCTACCACTTTAAAAATTTTAAGAACTGATAATGGGACTGAATTTGTTAATACTAAAATGCATGATTACTTGACCACTTATGGTATTGTTCATCAGCTCACATGTCCTTATACATCAGAACAAAATGGTATAGCAGAGAGGAAGCATCTACACATCACTGAGACTGCTATCACCTTACTTCATCAGTCCTCTCTTCCCCACATATATCGGTTTGAGGCTATGGCTACTGCTGTCTTTCTTATAAATAGGATGCCTAGTCTTTCTCTTAATCACAAATCACCTTTTCAACTTTTATTTCATACCATTCCTGATTGTCATTTTCTCAAAGTATTTGGATGCCAATGCTTTCCTTGGCTTAGGCCTTATGTGTCTCACAAACTAGAACCTAGGTCTACTCCTTGTGTGTTTTTGGGTTATCATCCTACCACCAAAGGTTACAGATGTTTGGATCCTATTTCAGGGAAAGTGTATCTTTCTAGACATGTTCTGTTCAATGAGACATGTTTTCCTTTTTCCCTTCAGTTGACTGATTCTTCCTCTTTACCTGATGTTCAGTCCTTTTCCTGGTCTACTTTTGTTCCATCTTCTCTTTCTAGACCTTCCTTATCTGTTCCTCAGTCTCCTTCTTGTCTGTCTAGGCCTGCAGTTCAGCCTACTACTTTCGCTCAGCCTGCTGCTACAGTTCAGCCTGCTCCCTCTGCTACTGTAGCTCAGCCTGTAATTGCCATTTTCCTTGATGCTTCTTCACCTACTTCTTCTTCATTTCAGCCACCTTTATCTACTTCATCTCCTATTCCCATTTCTTCTATTCAAATTCATTTACCTATTGCCACTGTTCCTGCAGTTCCTTCTTCTTCTGCTGCCTTACCTTCTCTTAACACTCATTCTATGATCACAAGGTCTAAAGCCTATCATCTCACTCCTTCTCTTGATTCTACTTTTATTGAGCCCGCTAATGCTACTTAGGCTTTGCAATCTTTTCTTTGGACTGCTGCTTTGACTGAGGAGTTTCTTGCTCTTAAAAAACAAGACACTTGGAAGTTGGTCCCTGTTCCTTCTCACAAAACTACCATTGGTTGTAAGTGGGTCTTTCATATCAAGAAAAATTCTGATGGTACCATTGCCCGATACAAGACTCAGTTAGTGGCTAAAGGCTATTTGCAACAAGTGGGTCTGGATTTCCAAGATACCTTCAGCCCAGTTGTCAAACAGCCGACAATTCGCATTCTCCTTTGTCTTGTTCTTTAATATCAATGGCTCCTTAAACATCTTGATATATCTAATGCTTTTTTGCATGGTAATCTTGAGGAGGAGGTCTACATGGTTTAGCCCCAAGGATTTATTGAGTTAGCTTTCCCTCATCATGTTTGTAAGTTTCAAAAAGCTCTGTATGGTCTTAAATAGACCCTTCACGCTTGGTATTCCATATTTTCTTCATTTTTACTTGGCCAAGGCTTCAAGCTTAGTTCCTTTGACTCTTCTTTATTTGTCAAACATACTCCTGCTCATTACCATTTTACTCATCTATGTCGATGATATTTTGCTCACTGGTAGTGATCCTTTGGTCATTCATTCTCTCATTACTTATATGCACATTGCTTTCTCTATGAAAGAACTTGGAGATATATCCTATTTTCTTGGGATATCAGTTCATTCTACTTCTCAAGGATATTTTCTCTCCCAGCAAAAGTATGCTACTGAACTACTTCAGCGAGTTGGGATGGTTGAGTGCAAGCCTTGTTCTACTCCATTGGTCCTTAAATCCTCTCACTCCTCTTCTTCAGATGACTTGCCTTACTCTAATCCTTCTTTTTACAAGAGTTTGGTAGGTGCTCTCCAGTATCTGACCATTATAAGACCTGATTTGGCCTTAGCTGTCAACCAAGCTTGTCAGTATATGCAAGCTCCTACACTTGGCAATTTTGTAATGGTTAAACGGCTCTTGAGATATGTCGAGGGTACCCTTCATCATGGTCTCACTTTCAGTCCTGGACCCTTTAGTCTTCATGCATATTCTGACTCTAATTGGGTAGGAGATTATGTTGACAGAAGATCCACTTCTGGATTCTGTGTCTTTTTAGGTCCAAATTTAATTTCTTGGTCTACCCGGAAGCAGCCCACAGTTTCAAGATCATCTACCGAAGCTGAGTACAGATCTATGGCCAACACTGCTACTGAATTGGTTTGGTTGCAGCAACTTCTCAAGACTTATTTGTTCCTAGCTATTCTCCTCTGGTTCTTTGGTGTGACAACATTTCTGCAATGGAACTGGCTTCTAATCTTGTATTCCACTCTCGCTACAAACATATAGAAGTGGATTGCCATTTTATTCGAGAACGTGCTGTTTCTAAGCAAATTGCTTTATCTTACATCCCTACTGTAGACCAACTGGCTGATATATTCACCAAATCCTTAACCTCTTCTCAGTTTCATTATCTCAAAGACAAACTAATGGTTTTGCCCAATCCCATTACTTTAAGGGGGGATGATAAGTTATCTCAGCTGCAGCAGAAGCCATGAGATCTAAAGCAACAAGAGAGAGAGAGAGAGAGAGAAAGAGCTGTATAGATATAAGAGAGATAGTAATGTAACTGTAAAGTAGTTAGAGGCAATTAGAGTTTGTTATAACAAACTCTAACCATTTTGTATAAATAAGTGTAAAGCACAATCTAATTCATTCAGTGAAAAAGATTTTCAAATTCTGATTAGTCTTTAACTTCTGTTAAATGTCCCGCCATTGATTCTTGTTGAGCTGCAATAGATATATATTCCAATTCTTTGCGTGTCCAAAGAGATTGAAAAATCCACTTTACCTTTCATATAAAAGTGATTCTGTAAATTTATTCACTTAGGTCTTATTTATTGATTAGTAACATTAATAAGAGAGTTAATTAACAATTCATGGAATTAGTATATGATTAGTTATTTAGTTTGATTAGTGAAATAAATAATTCCTTCTTGTTCATGTTTGTTTTAAAAGATTAACTGTGTTATCTATTTAAGAAATATAATAAATAAGTTAGATTAAGCAAATTTAATAAATAGTTTTGTAAGTAAAAATTACCGCAAGATTATTGTTTAAGTGATACTTTGTGCATTTGGTTTAATTTTTATTTGACATGTAATTTTAGATTTTTTTTTCTTTGTTATATTTTTTTTTCCTACTATAATTAGCAACGCCAAATTTTGTATTTTGTTGGATTCTTGTAATGATTTGTCATATCTTAAGTTATGTAAATAAATTAAGGACAATTGCAAAAACACGAAAGAGTGGTAAAATAATTGCATTAGACAAGAAATATTTTTTTGGAGCATGTTTATAATCAATATAGGAAAGACTTGTACCAAATACAAAGAAAACTTGCACCAAAAAGATTGCTACTGAAAATGAAAAACAAATTCAATTGTCATTGATTCACAATTTTCCCCATAAATATTAGTATATAATATTAATGAATATATATATACAAGTAGATTTTATTTGGGTATTAGCAAATCACGAAAAAAGAAAAAAAAAAAAAGAAGAAAAAAAAAAAAAGAGAAGTCAAATGGTAGATAATTAACATTTTTGTAACTTCTTTTCTTTCTACACCAAAAAGATTGCCACGAAAACGAAAAAATATGGCGAATATGCCTCTTATTCACAAGGCCTCTTTGGTACTCAAATTATAAGCTAGTTCATTAGCTTAAAGTAGGCAAATAAGTAAACTAGTGCTTAAAAGAACTAATTCTTTTGCCCCTAAGGGTGGTGGGCTAGTGGAGAGACCAATTTTAAAAGTTTTCCTAATGCCTCAAGAATTTGTTTTTTGTGTAGTGAATTGTCTGACCAAAACTGCAATTGCAATCACAAGACTTAGAATACCTATGAACCGTTAATGGAGGTTCATCCCATATATGAGCAGAATTTGATTCTAGAATCTCAATGTGCATTTGGAAAAAGAAAAGTAAAAGAAGAAAAGAAAAAAGAAAAATTGGATTGTCCTTGTACTAGATTGTTGAAGCAAGAAGACCAAAGCTTTTTCTATATAAGGAGAAGTTGCAATCTCCATAGATAACCAAGTAGTAAATCATAAAGAGCTTCTCTAACAGCAAAAAAGTTCGGAGAGCTATATCACGCAATGGCTGGGCATAATTACATGTATAGAGGCTACACTGATGATCAGAACAATGCAAACTACGGTGCATTTGAATGTTCTGATCACGTGTGCCGCCCTATCATTGTCGATAGTGAGGGTAGGAAAATGCCTATCATTTTTTACACTCCTAACCACCATGACTCAAAAAGCTATGTCGCAAGTACAGAGACAATTGTAGAGCATACCTGTACACCTGTTGTGGTCACTACTGAGTACGAATACAGCACTCCAACTAAAGTTGAGCCAGTGAAGGATTATGGAGTCACAAATGACGTATGGCGAAGGCCTTCAAGTCCTGTCCTTGAATATGGGTATAACTCTCCAACTAAGATTGAGCCTATTAAGGATTACGGAGTCACAGACAACAAATGGCAGAGGCCTTCAAGTCGGGTCCACGAATATGGGTATAGCTCTCCAACTAAAATTGAGTCTGTGAAGGGTTATGGAGTCACCAATGGCAAATGGCGTAGGCCTTCCATTCCAGTCCATGAATACGGATATAACTCTCCAAAAAAAGTTGAGCCTGTGAAGGACTATGGAGTCACCAACGACAAATGGCGTAGGCCTTCGAGTTCGTCTCAAGATCGCCCACAAAAGGTTGAGGAGTTCATCACGAGCATTCAAACTGAAGTAGGTCGACCAACGAGATCAGGCCTCCTGAGGGCCCCAAATTGGCGCAACAACACTCCTAATTCAAAAACAGGCCAAGTTGGCAACATTGGCTATGGTGATTACACTAACTACAATAACAACGACGACTGGAACACGCCTAATGTTAATACTATTCGAGATGGGAGTTTGGCAGATCCATTTATAGCCAATAGAGATGTTAGGGAAAGGCCTAATCATAATGGCACCCCGCTTTCAGGGCCAACAAATACTTACACGGAAACCATTGACAGCAGGGAAGCTCAAAGGAGATACGGAAAATTGAATCAATCATCTAGGTCATTTCAAACAGGAGAGAGTCATACAGGAACCATTGACAGTAAAGAGGCTGCACGAAAATATAAAGGCACAAATGTATGGTGAAGATGATGAGCAGCCTACATTTGCATTACATCTATTATAACTATAGGTCTATCTTTATCCTAGCTTAAATGCTCGTTGGTTGTGATGATTAATTAAGTAGGTTGATTTAAGCGTATCTTGGTAGTATGTACTCTAGTAGACCATCTATTTCTCAGTTTGTATTTCGTTTATGTTGAACTATCTTATCAATAAAAACGTGTTGAGTGTTTATGTCCTGATATATTTGTGAAATAAGCTTTGTTGGCAAGCAACATAGTTACTTTGGCATATGCCACTTTGGAACGGATGATGTGCATTCAATTTGTGTGACAATCAAAGAAATCAAGAATAGCAGTTGAATGGAATCAACTATTGTTCCTCAAAGTATGTGATTTATTACGGTTTACTTTTTAAGGCCTGTTTGGTAACATATTTGTGTTCGGTTTTCTGTTTATATTTATAAAAATTTAAAAACTGTAACACCCTGAAATTATTGACATTCGAACTATCCATAATTTCAACATTATTCTATTCATCAAGCGGAAGTAAGTGAAGATCATATATATATGCTTTGATCTCCAAATACTTCAGTGTTTAAAAATTACAAAATTGGTTCACATGCTTAATACATTCATTGATAACAAACCTTGAATCTATAGCATGTGAGCATTAAGCATTAATATCTAAACTATTACAAATTGATGCTTTAGTGGTTACAAGTTTCTAAGTTTATACTTGGTTACAATAAAAATGAGACTTAAGCCAAATACATAAAAACCCAAGGATTAAACAAAATGACATCACAAAAATGAGCCTTTAGCCTCAACATCCTCCCAAGCTATCCTTTTGCCAGAGGCAAACCATTAGCATTTGAAATATTTTTCCATATAGAGTGAGCTAATACCCAGTAGAGATAAATTTAACAATTTGTATGATATTTAACCAAGCTATATGGTGAATGCATATAGAATGCCATTATCAAAACTATGTGTTTTCCCATTTCAAAACCAATGCAATACCGATGGTTAAATCACAAGTTATATGTATTTAAAACCGTTCCTTCGAAATAGAAATAGGGCAGTAAATATGCACAGAGTATTTCTAAGTATTTGTTTGCAAGTAGGCTATACAAGCACTACCAATAACCATTTTACCGGTGTTATGCAGAAGGATTCTATACCTAACTGTGCTATTTTTCTAAACTTTCACCAAGGATACAAAGGCTAACATAAATACCAAAACCCACACTCCCTATTCAGATTCACCAACGTATTCACATATTTTTTCTCAAAATAACCCTCTTCAATGCATGAGTATGAAACATTTGAATAAATGAAATGCATGAAGTACATATTGGTTTCAATCAACTTAGTTCTTATGTAATTTCTACGACAAGCAATGCTTTCTTTTACCGATAGCTAAAACAGTTTTATTCAATACATTTTAAAATGGACAATATATATTGTGAGAACCCAAAAATGAAAATAAAATAAATAATTAAATAATAATTTTACAATCTCAAATATTTTACTTGTGAATCTTAAAGTGCAAATTAAATACTACTGGACGGTATTTTAATTAATTTTGAAGCATAAATAAATTTGTTATGGAAGTCCACAATTTTAAAGGCTAATCATAATCATAATAATAATAATAATAATAATAATAATAATAATAATAATAATAATAATAATAATAATAATAATAATAATAATAATAATAATAATAATAATAATAATAATAATAATAATAATAATAATAATAATAATAATAATAATAATAATAATAATAATAATAATAATAATAATAATAATAATAATAATAATAATAATAATAATAATAATAATAATAATAATAATAATAATAATAATAATAATAATAATAATAATAATAATAATAATAATAATAATAATAATAATAATAATAATAATAATAATAATAATAATAATAATAATAATAATAATAATAATAATAATAATAATAATAATGGTTGTTCTTAAAGCACCGTGAGAGAAACAAAAATGATGTGCCCATGTATAGTCTATGGCATGTGTGCAGAGGTTATTTGGAGGCTTGTATGTGTGTCTTTGGCAAAGTGAAGGGCTGAAGGTGTGTTTGGGTGGTAATGTGTTGGATTGTGAGAGTGCAACGTAGTGGGTGTAAA